GTAGAACTGCTCCAAAGGGTTTCCAAGGCTGTAAAACTTTAGCCTGACTCATCTTTCTCCACAGAGCAGCTTGTGGGTTTGAACCACCAACCTCTTGGTTAGCAGCCAAATGCTTTAACCACTGCTCTGGCTTAAATGTTAGGGGTCAGTACATGATAATTTCTTTTTTTTTTGGCGATCATTCCCAACTATTTGTTCCTGGTTCATATGTTGTTTTAAAAAAGAGGGGGAAGGTGGGCATCAGAATCCTCCCTTGAACTCCACAGGGATCGTTAAAGTATTGAGCAGAGTGAGGCTAAAGGTGCTATTTGCTGTTCGTTTCTTGACAAAACGTGATAGTCCTTGCCCTCTCTGGAACACCTTCTTTACTCTTTCTAGGACTTGGTTTCCCTGTGAGTAATACATTAAAGTTGGCATGTCAGGGATACTTGGTTATCTCAGGTCCTAACATTTGGCCAGATTTGGTACTTTCAACTTCTGAGGAAGCCCCAACTTTTGAGGAAGGGCTTCCCTGAACATAGCCCTGTTCCCCCACTTAATAGCAGAGGCCCAGAAATGCCCATCTAAAGGACAATCACACAGAGAAACCCCACATGTGGTCCTGTGGCCCCTAGGCACACAAATCCACTTGGGGAACTAAACCCATGAGGAGATACCCCGATCTATTGAGGCAGAACACACAAGCCCAAACAGCTGGACGTTGCACTTAGTGGCAGAACACATGCTCACATTCTGCCTTCTGCATACAGGAGTTACCCTCATCCACCCTGCCAGGGCTGTACACGAACATATGACCCAGCCCGAGAGTAACTACCAGTTCACTCATGTTGCACACACAGGCCCAGACACTCAAATACACACCCCCATGAGTACACACACACATGCCCAGGCAGATGAGGCCCTTGCCAATGACATCTTTTTCCTTGAGGAACTGGGGACATGACCTGCCCACCCCCTCCTCAGAGCCCACACAGGAGCCCTGGGGAAAAGAAAAGGTTCATTTGAGCTGCTGGCAGAGCCAGGTCAGCCTGAGGGGGCTGAGCTGGACACAGAGCAGGTGGCACCAGCAGCTGTGCCCAGTCTGGCCTTGCCAACTTGCTCACCCACTTGGACAAGCCGGGAACCTCAGGGCAGCCTGGGTAAAGTGGCCTGTTGGGGGAGGGACCTCCTGCTTAAGTAATGCGACTCTGGGCAAGTCCTGTTTCTCTCGGGTCTGTGGGTCTGTCTTGTTTCATCTTGGAAAAGTAGGAGGTGGTCCACTGACCTCCATCTCTGACTTAAAACAGCTTGTTGAATACTCCCCAGCTCCAGAGGGAGGCTTGGCAGGTTCATCTGCATTTTAACAACCTCCCCAGGTAACCCAGATGGTCCAAGGACCGCTTTGAGAAACTCTGTAATATTGAGTCTAGAGGATTTTATTTTATGACACTGGGAGCAGGGAAATATCTAAGAATGGGGGGAAGACTTTAAAAGACACCGGAAACATTCATTCAGGTCTAACAGTCCAGATGTGACCCTCCGCACTCCCCTCCCAGGCACCACCTGCTCACAGGGTCAGGGGTCACACAACCCCCAGCCCAGAGTCTTCCCCTCCACTGTAAGAGATTGCAACTTTACCATCATCTTACATATTTGTTTAATAACAAAAAAGCACACCCCCACAGAACTATTGTAAAACAATATCAAGTCGGTGATCATTGTAATATACAATACAAGCAATAAAATTTCTCAGAAATCTGAGAAGCACCAAACGTGACCGTTTTTAAAAATGTTTGCTTTTCAAAAAATAGAAACACGAGGGGCAGGGTTAATTCCTTCTCCCCAACAAGTTCTGAGTCTCTGGCGGCTGGCAGGCGTGGAGGGAGGGTTGACCTTCCCTCCTCTCTCGTCCTCCAGCCCTGGGCCTGACCCAGCAAGCGCCGGACGGCCGCCGATCTGAACCTTGTCCTCTGCAGCTCCGGCGAGGTGCCTGGTGGTGGTGGGGAACCAGAAAGCACTTCTCCTCTTGCATCGTCGAGGACTAGGGCTCGCCGCTCCCCAGTCGGCACTTCAGCGACACAAAATGCGATCGTCCGCTGGAACACAAGCCGCCTGTGAAAACGGGAAAGAGGTAAGTAAGACCAATTAAAAGGCCCACTAGAGCAACCGCGACAGGTCTCCCGTCCTTCCCTAGGAGCAGCTTTCTGTTCTCACCGGGCATCCCTTGCAGGCAGTTTCCCAATAGCATGGGGTGGTCATAGGACAAATCCCCGCTCCCACTGCAGGCCCAGTTTCCCTACGGGTAGTTAAGATGATCTAAGGCTCCAAACTGCATGGCTCACCTCGGCCGCCAGAGCGCTGATCTCGCCGTTGAGGGTGCTGAGCGGAGCCCGGGCGGGCAGCCCCCGGCTTCCAGGGGCCCCGACCGCGGACTGCGAGTCCAACTCCAGCTGCAGGTCCCAGATGTAATCGATAACGTGCTGGAGGATCTCCACCTTGCTCACCTTGCGGTTCTGGGGTAGGGTGGGCACCAGCTCCTTGAGACGCGAGTAACAGCCATTCATGTCATAGAGTAACACGTTGACCTGCTGTTCGTCAAGCAGGGCCGGTAGTCGCCCACCGGCGCCGCCCGCGCAGCGCGAGATGGCCACGCTCTGCTCCGACAAGCAGCGCACAACTTCGCCCGCGCCACCTGCCGTCTTGCCCGCCTTCAACGCGCAGCTGGGGCCCGCGGCGGCTGCGGTGCTGCCACTAGCGACCTTCATGACTGTGGCGTTGAGGTAAGGAAAAAGCGAAGCCGAGCAGAAAACAGGCGTCAAG